TAAATTTCATTCATTCTTTAGGAAATTTATATCAGAACTCACTTTGTCTTCTTCTTCATTTATTTTTAATATTTATATCGTTCTATTTTTAATATTCACATAACACCTTAATTATACTTCTGTTGGATAAAGTCTAATGTATTTCGCTGCAATACAGTACAATGCAACATAAATATACTCAGACTCATAAAATATGTTAAGTCCTAACTAAAGTGCATTGGGTCCATTTTTTGAAATTTTACAGGAGAGTTGCTTAAAGGTGTTTTTGTTGTTTTTTTTATTAACAGCTTGCTTGTCAATGAATAGCTCTGAATAAACACTTGTTAATTTTATTCTTTGGTCTATCGAATTTTAAATTATACCTCTTGGAGCGTTATTACGTTTAAAATTGTACTGTTTAATATTTTAAAAATAAAAATACTATTTACTTGTGGTATTGAATAAATAGAATTTCTTAATATATTTTCTTACGATGTACTGCACTTTCGCATTCACACCGATATGCAGGTTTCTGAGTTATCCATTTTAAATAATATTTAAAATGAAATGATAATAATAATAACATTCGAAGCCTTATCAATATCTTATACATATAGATGTATTTGAAACATTTCAAACACTCATGTACGTTTCTGAAAACAAAATACCATAAAAGCTAATAATTCTCAAAGATACTGTAGTCAATGCATATTTGTATAATATTTAAAGGAAATAAACTCTTTTGAACATAAATGTGACATTATTCGACTAACAGTGAGAACAAAGAGGAACAATAAGAAAGTTTCCATATATACATACAAATAAAAATACACTAAATTAAACAAAAGAATCAAAAATATAATTTTAAAAAAGTTGCTATAAATACAAATGTTGAAAGAATAAAATATCAAAATATTTAATACTAAAATTTAAGTGATAAACAATTACGGAATTAATCACGAAAAATACAAAATAGAGACAAGGTAGAACTGCAGCAGAAATTTGATGAAATAAAAAGTTTTATGAAAAGACAAAGTGGAAATAAAACTAATACTATCGCTGGCTTAGGACCATGGGGTGGAATTATACACGTATTAATGATTAGATCTTCATACTTACTAATAACTTTATAAAAAAAAGTAAAAATCAAAAAAGAAAAGCCGAAGAGAATCAGACACAATAAGAGAAAAGAATAAGAAAACCGTATGTTTCAAGTAAGAAATACTACAGAAAACTTATAAAACTTAATTATATACTAAATTAAAAAAAAAAAAAACAAAGATAACAATTAAATGAATAAAACTAAAAATAACTTACACAAAATTAAACCAGTGTAAAATTGTCATGATATCGTAGAAATTTATATACCACCTAAAAATGTAATTACCTAAATGTAGTACTCTCATATACAAAACAAAGTTAGAATTAAAATTCCAGTAGTGCCATTCTTATACACTAAAGCTATAATCAAAATCTTAACATGAAATTTTTTTTAATTAAAACAAATCGTGATATAAATAATTAGAATAAAAATAATCGTCAATTCTTTTTTAAAAAAAAACCAAAAAGTAATATCGAAAAAAATTTCAATTTTAAAACTTTTTATATTTTAAATTGATTTTTAGAAATATATCGGATTATTCTTCTTGAATGCTAGCATTTTAGCATTTATTAAAATTATTTTTATTACCTAAAGGTCTTATTACTAATTTAATATTATGTAGTGCATACTTATTCAAATATTTCTAAAAATCAACTAACTTATATTATTTTCAAAGAAAGTATATTTACTCACAAAAACTCTAAACTGTTCCTTTTGTTATAAATTTTATTACATTCTACAGCTAAAAAGTTATTATTTAGTATCATAAATATTTTTATTAGTTTGTATTGATTTTAAATAAGAAGGATAATATGATAACTCTGGTTTAACTTCGGAGTTCAATTTATTTTGAAACATTATTAGAACATCAATGTATTTAAGCCAAGTGTAAGCATCATTTTGTACAAAATTTTGTTTATAGAAGTGTAAATGTGTAATATCAATATTATTACTAGCAGGACAACCTTGTTGACCTCTTTAATTTGCTTATGATTTTTATAATTAAATATATTGTTTTCTTTGAAAACTAAATTAATTAAAAACTTAATTTTTTTCTCAAAAAATGGAACTATTAATTTTTAACATTTTAGAATAAAAACAACTTTAATTAAAAATCCTCAATATCTATCGAACTGAACAAAATTTCAAAATAAATTATTAACACTAAAAACTCTGGAATAAGCAAGTAAAACATATTAAAACAATTTTTAAAGTGAAACTATTAATAAAATATAGTAACAATTAGTGGATGTAACGTAATTTAAAATTAAGTTTCAGGCTTTGGAATGAAATGTCGGTTGAACAATGTTAATACTGTGCAATATACATATTTCCTTATATAGAAAAATTAAGTTTGAATGATAGAAGCTGAGAAAGTAATATCTATTCTCAATAAAAAAGTTCATTTGTAAAGACCTTAGATTATTCAGAAGTGTTCAAGCAGCAAATTTTGAAAATTTATAATTTTATCCAGAAATTTAATATGTATCGTTAATTAGGTCTATTTCTCGAAGCTGTGGAATATAACAACTTACTAAAACAGGATTTTCTACATGCACCAATAGCAGCAGGATACTATTAAGGGGAAAATATAAAATTATGCATTTAGATTAATAACGGTTGTTATTATAAAGTATAACATATCAAAAAGAATAGAGAGCTGTGCCCAGAGTGTCCAGCGTTATCAAATGTGCATAACCGATCTAAGAATAAGATTTTGATTGCTGCATTTAAGTATTATACATATGGATGCTAAGATGCTCCAGTCTCCCAGACTGTTAACATAGCGCACAATGGCTAGGTGTATGAAGAGATCTCTTAGGCCATCCCATGAAAAACAATACGACGAACTTATATCAAATAGTTGGAAGACGAATTCACATTACCCCACACGTTCGTGTATCTCTAACTTTCAAACGAAAGGAAACACCTTTGGCATGGAATCAGATGAAATTGTACAGAAATTAGATTAATCAAGAGGCAACTCATCTTATATATCCAACAATCGCAATTTTTGTCCTTCTAAATTATCTTCGTAGAACACTTATGTTTAACAAACTTGTTCCTCTAAGTTTAGTCAAAAGCTTGACCAAGTCCAGAGACTAAAAGTCCTAAATAATTAAACGTAATGAATGAGATGAAGTGTAATAAATAGGTCAATGTCAAGCCTCATGCAATATGATATGATAAGCCCGGGTAGAATTAGAAATTTGCAATTCAGAAAGGGTTTCTACCCTTTAACAAATTAAGACTCCGAATTATCTCATTAGTGTTTGGGATATCTCTATATTCCTTAGTGATAAGGGGATCACCAGGAGCTTACCTGTTATACCATAAGAGAGTCAGAGGCATCTTCTATAACTGGAAATTTGATTTTTTTAAATTTTTATTTTTGATTTTGTTTCGAGGAAGATGAAAGCATTATTTCAACCTGATATATTAGCAAGACACTTTCCGTCGTCAGAATATCAGCAATTACATTACCATTGAGGCCTGTATAAAACAGAGTTCATTGTAAGTAAAAGTCCTGCTATCATGAAAGGAATTGATGGTTTCATGAAGAGAAACAACATCTCTATCACCAAAACATTTTAAGGCAAGTTAATGTGGTGCTGGATGTCAGAGTTGGAAGAACCAAAGCAGTCTCCTGACTTTGATTGATTGAGTATTAACGTCGCACTTAGAAGAAACACGAAAGAGCTATTAACTAAGGACCTCGTAATTTTCCCTTCATGGCAACAGTAATAACATTTCCTACCTCTTTCTCATGATAATAATTTTTTTCAATAGATTTCACCTAGTACTTTGGACCCTTGGTCAAGTGACGAGGAGGACATCTGAGTTGTGAACCTCCCTCTGCACACTTCTACAGCATCCTAACGGAAAAACTAGAGACCTCGACAGATATAACTAACATGATCAGTTCCGCTACACGGCAGGTTTTCAGTTGCCTTAGGGCTCAAACTCGCAACTGAAAGTAACAAAGCTGGTATCGAATAGGTGATCTCTAAGTGATTGCGGCCATAAACTGCTTAACCTATTTTAATATAAAATAATGTTTACAAGTGATATAGCGATGAACATATAAAAAGGTGCAAAAATATGCTTCTGAATATGGTAAGATATTATTCTCATTCAGACACGAAAAATCAGCACCCTTAAAAACAAAATATGACAATTCGTATTCCCATTAAAAATGTGTAAAAGTGTATACCCACATTTTGTACCGTTAATTTCATTTAAAGAACAAGATCTAAGCTGTACATACTTTTATATTTTTGTAAGAAAAAACTATGGAATAATTTAAGGAATACTCCTCTTCATTACAGATAAAAACAACTACTCTAAGAAATTAGATTGCAATATTTAGTAGCATTTAATAAGTTGAACTTATTTAAGAGAATGGTTCAATATCAAATATTAATATGTGTTTTACGTCTCATGTAACTTAATAGATAAGGCGTTGCATTCCAACTACAAAGACTGTGCGATCAAACCCACCAGAGTCTTTTTATAAAAAAGCTCCGATGGTTCTTTTTATTATTGTATTGTTACCATTTAAACTAATTTAATAGAGTAATGTCACATGACCCTGAAAGTTTGTTGTCATCTCCTGTGCCTTAATGGATAAGACATTATATTCAAAATGAGTTTTATATATATGAGGATTCGATTTCCCTGAAGAGTTCTGTACTTCAAACAAATCAGTATATTATTATTATATCTATATAGATTACACTAATTTTTGAAGATAGTGTCAAATGAATAAAACGGAGTTATACACTTTCGGTAACCTAATAAATTAGGTGTTGGAACTTGAATTCCAGTACTATGGGTTCGGGTCCCTCCAAAAACTATATTGTTCAAAGGATTTTGATTTTTCCTGAAAAATATTATTTGAATAAAATGCCTTTACGTAGCTCCTGTGGCCTAATGGATAAGGCGTTGGATTCCGAATCCAAAGCATGTGGGTTCGATCCCCACCAGGAGCTGGGTCCTTTAGAAATCTGTAGTTTCTAATTTTTATAATATGTTTACTGCACCATAGTTTTTAATTTGGAAACCTCAACTGCTGATTTATTTTTAAAATAATTTAACAAATATTATTAAACAATTATTTTATTTGAAAATTATATGAGTACGATACATTCTGTATTTTTTTAAAACAAATATTGCATGAGAATTTCTAATATTTATTAAAAGTTAAAACACATGGAATTTGACTTTTCGCACACACTCAAGACATATAAATGTTTTTCTAAATGGCACTATAACAAAAAAGAAATTTCTCACTTAAAATTTACTTGTAAATATCTGTTATATAAGTCGTCTTTGATCCAATGCGAAAATTTACAAATCGTCAGTCGCAATTGAAGAACGAATGTTTTGTTCACCTTTGAGAACGTTTAGTACTTACGTCAGTTTTTAATATCTCAGCCAGATTTCTACAAATTTTCCACACATTTTATAACCACGCATAAGAAACAATATGTTTCAAATGGATTTTTATCATAAATTTATAAATCTCTAACATTTAAATGTTTACCTTTTAACCCTTTGTAAGGCCAATATTTCTTTTTTAATGTTATATTAAAATATATTTGGTACTAAGTCTGATTTAAGAAAATAACTGTATTCACCTTATATAAAATTAACTTGATTCTCAAGATCTTTTTTATTGGTAAGAAGATTGTTTGTAACCAAACTCATCCGGTTCTATTCAATATTATATATTATAAAGATTATACATCTAGGTTCTTTCAAGAATGCATTACATATTATTGATAATTCATAAACACTAAAAACTGTAAAATAATTCGCAATTTAAAGGAATTTTATATTTATATATAATTATAATAAATATAAAATTAAGAATTCTTACTAATTACTTTTCATGATATTTCAAAAGAAAGAGATTTGTATTGATTGTTTAATAACGAAGCGCGCGTTTAGAAGCAATGCGATAGCTACAATCGCCACAGAATCGGAGTTGACGGAGTTCGCGAATAGTGGATTCGATCCTTGATGCCGCTAAAGATACGCTGTATAGTCGGGGCTGATGCAATAAATCCATTGAGGCTTAAAGTTCTCCCATTGGCGTGATGTGGAAGCTGGGAGGGGGTGCCAGATCGCGTGTCATAATCGTTACTCGATCGAGGTTCAAAATTACGAGGACCGTCTCCAATATCCCAGACATGTCCTTTTTTTTCTTTGTTCCAAAATGTAAATTTTTCTCTTTCCAATTATTTTAGTTAAAAAAAAAAATTTAAGATGATGATTGCTGAGTCCAGAGGTGATTGTCTCCCAGGGGCCATTTTGCAGCTCTAAACACTTTGGGGCATGTGTTTAGAGCTGCAAAAGCTCTAAAGAGCTGTTTGGTTCCTATGGGCATTCTGACAATAGCCCTCGTGTTCCTTCTCGTGCGAGGTTAATGAAACAAACCAAATCAAACAAGAGCTACCGACAACGAAACTCATAATTTTGAGCATCTCTCAACTGAAGAGGAGGATATTTCAGAAGGTACCCCATTCTCCAATCCACATAACTCCATTCTGAGGACATGTAGCCTCGACAAATTCAACGTGCATCAGCCCTGCTGCATAATGTATCTTCAGTGGCATCAGGGCGTCTTAAGTGGTACCCACGACGGCAATAACACCGGCTGATAACTCGATACCATAATTATTAGACTAATACGACCTCGAAAATAGCGCAAGAAAATATATTGCGGTACTGCAAATTATTTTTTTTTTTTTTTTTTTTTTTTTTTTGTAATTTGCTTCAGTAGATCACAAATAGTAGAGTCTGATTTTTTTTTTTCTGTAACCGCCTTTATTCAGTCATATTTCATCTGGAACAATCTTTTGTTCCTCCGGAAGCTTACAAGATATCCTTTTCATTCGCGACTTGAAACTCCATCCCAGCTTAAGACGAAAACATTGCTGATCTTGAGATCCCGAAATTGACGGTGGACGTACTTTCGACCGCCTTAGAAAGGATAAAATTAAAAGGAAACAAAGCATACTCGGAGAGAGAGACAGAGCTAGGAGTTTATAGAGATTTGATTTCAAAGCTCGCTTCTATAATCCTCCATGGAAATCTGAGGTTGAAGCTATCACTTGTTTAGTGATTATGGTTACGGTCATGACTTACGGGAAGCGTTGTTTTCTCCGCTTCGTAGGTTCGAGTCCTGATTCCACTAAAGACCCACTTTGCAGAGGGCCTGGTGAACTTTTCTGTGGTCGAGTTCCCAAGTTTTCCCATTGGTATGGTGGGGAAGTTTAGAGAGAGAGAGGAACAAGCACAAATGTCGTCCTCGCACTTGACTTATGCTCAAAATTATGAGGTCCCTTACCAATAGCCCTGCTTTTACGAGCGACGTTAATAAGCAATCAGTCTTTTTACTACACCCTATTCTAACACATCAATCAATAACTCCCGACACTAACCCAGAGATGGAGCTCGTAGTAAACCAGTAACCAGGTCTTTCTAGAGTACTAACCATTGTGCTTGAAACGTGTCAAAATTTTAAGTCGATCGGACCAGAAACAGCTGAGTTATCGAGGTTGGAGTAAAGTCGTTTTGTAGTTTGTTTAAAAAATGGAAAAAACCGAGTTTCGTGTTCTGATAAAACATTGTTTTTTATTGGGTAAAAACACCGTGCAAGCGAAACAATGGATTGAAAAATGTTACCCGGACTCTTGTCCATCAAAAGCAACGATTTGTTGGTGGTTTGCCGAGTTTAAACGTGGTCGTACCGACACAAATGACGCGGAACGCTCGGGTAGACCTGTGGAAGCCGTTACACCGGAAAATGTGAGTGAAGTGACAAAAATTATAATGAAAGATCGTAAAGTGAAGCTCTGTGAGATTGCTGAGATGACACAGATGTCATATGGAAGTGTATTTACTGAAAAAGGTTTTTTGAAGTGAAGTGAAAAATGTTTTTTCCAAGTGGGTGCCGCGATTGCTTTCGATGGAACAAAAACAGCAACGAGTCGATGATTCAGAAAGCTGTTTATCGCTATTTACTCGCAACAAAAAAGATTTCTTGCGTTTTTTTTTTTTTTTTAAAAAAAAAAAAAAAAGATTTGGAACGATTGTATCACCCTAAAAGGTGATTAACAAAAGGTGTTGTGTTGATGAATAAAAAAATATTTTGCAAAAAAAATGTTGTTTTCAATGTTAGTCTCGGGAGTTATTGATTGATGTGTTATATACGGAAATTTTATGATACACAGCTATTATCTTAGGAAACTAAAATCATAGAAATTTTATTACTTAAGTTTATTTCTTAAAATTCTTTCACACAGTGGTTGCCAACAAAATATCTCTTAATAATTTTCAAGAATGTAACCCAAAGTTAATATGGGAACGATGTTACAATTATGTGATATTTTCCACATAAGTAACAGTTATTTAAAAATAACATAATTTTTCACATGGGTAGCATTTGCGTATTCAATATTTTCTCTTTTATGAAATTTTAAAAATGTGTCTGAAAACCATTTCAACTCTCTAAATGTAGGATTAATGTCCTTTTGATGAATATAAACGAGACATTCAATTTCCTAATTCTTTTTAAAACTATGAGAAATGAGTAATTAATTACTCTTTTAACTTTTCCCAAGTTCCATAAGTGTTTCATATATTTCTCTAAGGATTTCAAAGTGTATCAACTCTTAAAACGTATTTTGTGTATTCGAGAAGATATTTTTCCCGAATGCGCAGGTTCCATACTTTTATATTATCATTTTTAGAAAAGTAGCGTATTTACTCAAATGTGTTAAATGCGTTACAGTTGGGGTGTAGCAAATTAGAGAATTAAAATTAGAGAACTAAAAGTTTTTCTTAATTTGCTTAACTGTGCTAATTAATTAATTTCTTAAATGCTAACTAACCAAACAAAGCGTTCTAATGGTGCGTTATAAGCATGTGTCAAACTTAATCCATATTTTTAAATTGTAAAAAAAATCGATATAATTATAAGTGATAAATTTTCAGCATAATTTAGAACTTTATGATAAATATATTTCCAGATATGTTTATGGACTACACTTGAAAATGGTTGTTGTCAAGAACTAATTTAATTTTGTATAAAGTGACATAAAACATTTAGTTTTAAACTAATAAGATTGGTCAAATGAAGTCACAAAATTAAAAATTGTAATTCTGAACGTTATAGAAATAATCTGAAATCCGGAATAATCATCAGAGAAATACACGAGAAATGATAAGGAAATGATGTAATTGTATATGAATTAATCATAAGAAATACAAGAAAAATATTAATAATGTACACGTTATAATATTCATATTATGAAAGCACACTTTCTTACTTTTTTTTCATTTTTAAGATTGGGAAAATTATTCAACCGACATTAGTATTTAAGTTTTATTAGAACATATTCTTTGGAAGATTTTAAAGAAAACTAAGTGAAACAATATCATTTAAAAATAATATAAATAATGTATTATTTATTATTATAACATTTATTTTACGATTATTGATTAACATTGAAAAATTTTTATTTGAGATATTTTAAAAAAATTGTCAGCCTCGTTCGTACTCCTAATCAAGTTTATAATGTATCAGTAAATACATCTTCTGCCAATCGCATAGTTTAGTTGCAAAAATGTGGTTTGTAAAATACATATGATGAGTTATATCGATTCTTTTTATTATAGTTTTAAAATGAATTTGTTCAGCTGTAAGCTTGAAACAGCATATTAAGATTCAGTTTGATTCTTCCTGCGATTGCATTTGATTATATTATTAGGACTGTTGCAATATGATTGTAATTGCTTATTAATGTTGCAATTAGAAACAACACGAGGGCTATAGGTGACGTATCTCATCATTTGGAACCTCGGTCAAGTGACGATGACTACACCTAAGCTGGCGCCTCCCTCTCCAAATTACCACACCCCGTTAATGGGAGGACTTTCAGCCTCAACAGATTTAACGTGTATCAGTCCGTTACATGGGGTT